TTTTTTTTTTTTGGGATTTTTTTTGAAGAGAGGATAGAGGTGGTAATAATAAAGTCACATGGAAGGAAAATGAAACACTTGGCAGTCCGTCAGATGACTAATGCAAGATGCTGGTGATGAATTTGCAGAGTGAGAGAGGCATCCATGTGTGCATCAAATTAGTACGTTGTGGCTGCTCAGAATGGAAAGCGCTCCAGCTATGCAGCTCTGTGCAGCTGATTGGCTGCCCACGCTGGAGAAAAGGGCCGGAGCTGGGAGGGGGCTCTCCTTTAAAAAGCACATTGTTTATGGGACCCACGCACAAAGGGTTTAATTCAGAGAGGCAAAAGCGATCTCAGAATTGCCTGCTTTGTGCCGGAAGAAAAAAAAAATGCAGCCCCAGAAAGTTGAGTTCCCACTAAAGGACACTGAATATTTCAAATCTTTCACACTCCATAAATTGCTCTCTGTATATCTGACTTCCAGATGTTACACTTGAGTTCTAAACAATCACACGTTTAGGAGAGAAAAAAAAAGAAAGTCTGCCTTTTCTTCTAGCTTCAGTAAATATTTGGGGGTGATACAAAGAGCAAAACCATAAGCTTTTACATATCAGTCTTACTTAATGTTTCCCAAACTCCCATTTGGAAGGGAACACTTGTTTAAGCCTGCAGTTCTCGTCATAATCATGTAACATGATGAGGAAGACATTCCTGTTCTACTTGGACCCCCCCTTCCCTATTTGAGCTGGAGTAAATAGTAAAAGCAAAATCATACACACTTTGCCCTCCCCCCCTCCAAACGAACCCTCAACTCATCTACTCTGCCAAGTGTCAAGGCTAAATGCCTCTGAGCAGTACTCATTTGCAGTACTGGGCTCTTGGTTTAACTTCTCAGCCTGTGAAAACATAATGCACCTAAACAAATGCAAAGCCAGCCGACAGCATCCACAGAGCCCCAACAAGCAGAAAGGTCAGAAAGGGGACACACTGACTAAAACTAAACTGCAAATAGCAGGTTGATTTCACTGTAGCCTCTGGGTAATAGGAAGAGGTATTCAAAGATTTTCAGCAGAGTTCTTTATTTGGTTAAAATAAAATATCAAAAAACACACCGGATTTGCTGTGGGCCTAGGTTCGTCCTGAGCCCTCAGGAAAACAGACAACACTGATGGTCAAAAACCTATTTTTAAAAAATCCTGAATTAAAACCTATTAAAAAAAAGAATCCTGAATCCAGAGAGAAAAATGCTGTCAAATACTCTTTACTAGGTCCGGGCTTCAATTTCTACTTGTTCTGATCCCCCTATTTTACCACTTTATTTTTTTAATCCTTGAGATTGTCTTACTTGAAGCAATTTCAGAGCTTTCTCTAATCAACCTTATTGTTATGAAAACTATTCTGCTGAATAAAATATTGAGTACAAAATCTTCTTTCAACAATTTAGGTGTAATATAACGCATGTTTACATTAGAGCTAGATCATTTATCTTGTTCTTATGTACCTATACTACTTTTCAAATCACTCTGTGAATTCAATAAACACCTTAACCCTGTGGAGCTGTGACTGCAGCAGGGTGGAGGTGGCAGGGCCCCTTGCAGTACAGAATGTGGTGTTCACAGCACGCTGCGAGTGTGGCAAGACTTATTTATGGGACAGGAAGGACTTGTGGTTATTGCTGTTGACAATCAGCGAGAATGAAGAGGAAGGCACTGCCACAGGTCTCAGCTAACAGAGAACGGAAGTTCAAAAAATGGAGCTGTTGCATCTTGTCTGTACAGAGCACCATTAATGCAATGTGGCCAGGAAGGGGGGTGGGGGGGTGGCTAGGGAGAGGGAGGTTAGGTGGCAGTATACCAGCCCTAATATCTAAGCTTAGAATTCTAGAGCAAGCATTCCTCAATGTTTTTTCAAATAAGAGGCCATTTATATTTTCTCACAAAATACAGACTCACCAAGTCATACAAAAAAGCTGAGAAGAGGGCTTATACCTTACACATTTGATCCTCATGTTAGTGAGTGCATATTTATTAATTCCTCTCTATCAGCCATCCTTCACAGATGCCTAGAGACCTCTTATCATCCTGAGGCAGTGTAGTGCAGTGGCTAAGGACATGCGCTCTGAATCCTGGCACTACCGCTTCCGATGGCACAGACATGGAACAGAGTAAGTGCTCAGTAAGTGTCAGCTATTTCTACTGTTGACCCATTCCTTGCATTTGTGATGCACTTGAAATGAGTTGACCATCACAACCTTACTTTTCAATCCAAAATTTTTATAGTATAGATTCAAACACAATTCATACCCTAAGTAAAAATAACATGTATCTTTCAGTCAACACTTATATACCAGATACTGTGCTAGGTGCTTTACATTTTTAATCCTTATAACAATCTTATGAGAAAGTAGTATTTTCCTAATGCCAACATCTGAGAAATAAGTCCCTTTCCTAAGATTACTAGCTTATAAATTGTAGAGCTAGAATTCAAACCTATGCCCACTAGGCTACAGAGTGCAAACTATTTCTAATCCGTCATGTGGCCAAATATTCTATCTGGTCCAGCTTGTGTTGAGAGTGAATAGCTCATTGCGAATCAATGGGAAGACAAAGCCAAGAGCAAGCCATATGGGGTCCCTGAAATCACAATGACAAATAAAAGCATGAAAAGAAACACGTGCATACACCTATCCTCTTTCTGTCTGTGGGAAAGAGGGTACAAAGTGCTGGACTTAGGAGTCTTTTAAGGCTACTCTACTACCCATATTTTCTCAATACTCACATAAGCGTGTCTCCATCTCCACAGATTCTCTTCCTCTCTATTCCCACAGAGTCATGAGGATGAGAACCTCTCATCCACATCTACATCCTTTCCTAATGACTTGCCTTTTTGCAAATAACTGTTCCAAAGATTTGCATAAGTGCTAAGGGCATGACAATTCCTTAAGTAAATCCAATGATATATAGTTGTCATACAAATTAAAAACAGCACCACCACTACCACACCTTCCTGATCAAAAGCTTCTATGCTGAATAGGTGGTCCTGTTATACCAACCACCCCAGTGCTGCTGAATCCCATGCTCTGAATCCTGATGGTATTGCAACAGCTTGGTTAACTTTGTGCTAATCTACCCAAGCTCCTCCTCCTTTGAACTCCCAACTTTCTTCCTGGCTGATGGTCATTTCTAGTGGAGACTCACTGTCCTCATAAGGCTGTAGGCACTGACACTTCTAAGCGAGACAGAGATTATGTGTTCGACAGTTAAATCCGTGGGGGTACATGCCAGAGGCCACGGAGAGCCAATGTGCTCTTGATAGAGAAGTAATTATGGAAACAGACACCCCAAATCTCAGCAAGACCCTTAGCAAGACCATGTATTTATGGGAATCTGATCTTGGGCTTAGAAAATTGGACTAGCTTGCTTCTCTTCACTCCTTAGCCATCCTCAGCACTCAGCATAGTGCCTTTTACAGTGCAGAAATTTAGATTCAAATTCAAGTAATATTTATTGAGGGACTACTCTTTGCCAGAAACCTTTGCCAAGTACATGACATACAATATCATGACAGCTCCAGTGGAATCATTACCTCTGTTTTGAGGATGAAGCAACAGAGTCACAGAGGTAAAGTGTCTTTTCCAATGTCACACCCTTAAGAAATGGTGCCTACAGAATGTGGATACAATTAAGACTGAAAGTCCAACTGTCATTGCTTAATATTCCATGAACTGGGTTTCTCTAGGGAGATGTCTTCCATGGATTCAGTGACCACGTGCAGACCCTGGACACAAGCACATACATCTCTGTTGGCACCTTGCCTGCAAATTGCAACAAGATCCTGAGTGCCAATTCCACTTGTGCCCTTGGCAAAAAGCCAACTATAAGGCTCCTCTAGGACAGATGCCATATGGAATGAGACCACAGTCAGAGAGCACTAAGCCAGCGGGCATTGATGGTATCAGTCTCAGAGCCAAGATGAAAATGTAATGGTGTTTGGGGAAAAAAATGAGAGTGCTTCCTTTTTGCTTTTAGCACAGGCAATGACCTACTTCCCTACTCTATTTTTGAGTAAAAAGAACTAGATCAACAGAGAATATGCAAAATCTCCTGAGGTTCTTCTAAGCAGTAAAACATTTTTATAAAAAATTATTATAACCGATTGAACATATTACTATTACTGTTATTAATTCCAGGTCAACAAGCTTTTGTAAGGCCCAGTGATTTGCAGGTCTCCTTTGGAGAATAGAAACAAAAGAACTGAGATTTCTTTCATCTTGTTCCCTGGATAACT